TATATATATAGACCACTTTTTTGTCTTTTCATCACTTTGCAATTCTGGAAACCTGACGATTCTTGTGAGTATTGAAATCTCTCGTCCATCGTCCAAGATCGTCTACTTTTGTAAGTATTTTTTAACTACAAAAAATGCGTCCTTTGTATCTTTAGATCAAGATCTGACTTTGTCGACAGTCTTGATATGAATTCACATTCAAGCGATTCCGTGTTTGATGCGACATATGAAACGACTTGTCAAGACAATAAATCTTTGAAAGCCCCGTTGATACGGAAAAATGTTTTAGAACTCCCTATCATTTGGAGTTTGAATAAAGTAAAATAGAATCGTCATATGCTTTTCCCGAATTATATACAAGTATAGCAACTGATACTTGAGAACAGCGACATCCATACATAAATCCTCTAGGTGGCTGGAGGACTGACAAACTGAATTCAACTCCACTCACCTTCTGAACGAGCGAGCCATGCAAAAAACAGTCCAGCAAAATTTTAAATGCAAGTTGCTTTGTGAACAGGAGGCGGGTTTGTGACAAACGCGAAGCTCAGAGACATTGCCGAATTCAAAGTATACCAGTCTGTGTACCAAATGTCGGTTATGTTGTGCCCTCCATAACTCTGAAGGAAAATTTGTAGACAGAAAAATAAGTGCGTTGTCATCAGGATCACTACGAATACTTATGTTGCATAGGGCTATTTTATACCTTCAAGAAATAACAGACCAACAACTCTTAAAATAGTAAAGAAATACAGAAGGAACTCTACTATACTCGAGTACTAACTGTACTATTTATAATGCTAAGTTAATTGAGAACTGGGCAGAATTTCAATTTTTCGTAACTTACTAATACGTTATTTGCATACTGAGAATAAACTAATGAAAAATTGAAATCGACACCTCAATTCACAGTGAAATTATTACAATTTAATGGTCTGAAAAATCACGAGAAGTTTTTTATTGACGGTCTTTACAATTTTTACGTCACTGGTTTTGTAAAACGATGGAACATAGCCGAGCTAAACGGTGCAATTAATGGTTTTGGATTATTTGTTTGAAGTTTCGTTTCAAGAAAACGATGAAACAAAAATCAAACATTTTGATCTAACTTGCGCTAATGATGATGATGCAAAACTGAAGGGCTTTCACCTCTCACAGCTTTAAAGTTGAAATGAAATATGTATGTTCACCAAGCATGTCAAGTCGCAGCGAATAATGGGAAAGGTTTGCTCTTCTTACCGTCTGAATGAGCTTTGTCAGATATTTCTACTGCAGTATATAAATAAAATCCTTCTTGCTACAATAGGTTGGGAATGTTCGAAGAATTGAGAAATACTATAGAAACTGAATTATCCATATGATTTAATATTTTCTTCTTTACAGCCTTGTTCTTTGTATAAAGGGAATATACTATTTAACGACAGAAGCAAGTATTGAAATGTCATATTGTCATGAAAGCGCTAAGGAATTTATTTAGAATTATGTAAATAATCATTTTATTCTCTTAGGATCAATGTAGCGTGTAATATTTGCATCTGTCACATAACTTGTATTCTTCATATTTGTATCTGTTGTGTAATTAACCTTTATTGTATATATCAAATAGTTTACTTCATTCTTTTCTGGCACCTTGCGTCCGCGCATATTTAACGATTCGGGCGGTTACGGTGTGGTGTGGATTTATTTTGAGAGAGAAGGTCAACGGCGGCGAAGGTTGGAAAAGTTACAGAGACGCGTCCGGGGCATGTTTAAATCACTGAGAGTCATTCAGAAAAAATTCGTCCGTTCACACGACAAAGATATTCATTTTCCGGGGGCTTACGTGTGCCGAGAAGCTGGCCGAAACGAAAAAACACACAGAAGAAGGAAAAGGCCGGAGAAAGTTATCTTCCAGTCGGAGGGAAAGCCAGTGAAGACAAGAGGAGTGAAGGAAAAATCTGGGCGAGGACCGAGTTACGTTAAGTGGAAACTACTACGTTTAGCTGCGTTAAACGCGCGTTGAGTTTGGTTTGTTAAACGCGAGTCTGGGTTGTTAAACGCGAAGATTGGTTTGGGAATCGTTTATTGGTGGAACGTGGTTGTTAAGAACAGGTCAAGTACAGGACGCGAAGGTGAACGGAACTGAACTAAAAAAAACCTATTTCTTTTTATCTTAATGGTAATTACTCTCGTAAATAGTTTTAGTGTTCTGTAGTTTAAATTATCATATTTCTGTAAATTAATTAGGAAAAATATATCAGTTCACTGTGTTGTCGCTATTTTTAGTTGCTTTATTGTTTTACTTAGGATAATAAATATTAGTAGGCGTACGTTTTTTAGTGTTGTGGCGTGTCTTCTAGGGATTGTTTGTGCTTCGGGTTTTGTCTGTTAGAGGGCGCCCACCTTTGTGGCGCGGCCGGAATCGTCACACATATTATAAAACTATGGAGGGCACAATTTGAAAAGCTAAGGGAAGCTTTATCATTGTTTTGTTATTTCAAGTGTGGTTCATGTTGCCAGCTTCGTTACAGAATTCGGTTAACAGTTGAAGGGTCAAAAGGGAGACTGAGAAGTAAACAAAATAACTGAAAAAAGAAAGTCAGTAATAGAAAGCACCCTGACCGTATGTATTTTAAAACAAACAGCAAACATGCATGAAGACTGCAAACCTATTGCGATTCGTGGTCAGATAAGACTGACTATTTCGAGCTGCTGTAAGTCAGACTTAAAATGCATACATTTTATTACAGTAAGGTGTGTCACGTGTGGATGAGTAGATGCACCTACCATTTACATGGAATCGTGAGAACAAAGAGCTAATGCTTCTCATCAAAGGAAATTTAACTGTGCAACGAACAGCAACAGATCCATTGCAGAGTTTAAATCTGAATCCAACCGATCATGATCAGTATTCGACATTGACCTGAACCGAGACCCCGTCACACTATACACAGCAATGGAAGGGATCTGATAGTGATCCATCGGGTAATTTCTGCTCAAGAGTTGAAGGACATTTTCGAGAGCAGCTAAGACTGATTTGGAGATTTCTTCCGCTCTGGCTTTTCCCTTTCAACTGGCAGATACATACTTCTCTTGTTTACTGTGAGCTTTGTTTATTATCTAAAGATACAGTTTGTTGTAACCTAAGGAATTATAAGAACTTCGAAGGGCCAAAACGAAAGCGGGAACATGGCATAAAATATGCTACGCTAGGATTTGACGGTCTCTTTTCATTCAGAGAATGAGACTTATTACAGAATTAGAACAGGACGATGGTATCTGAATTGTTTAGGATAGGAAAAAAGATATGAAGAAAAGATGGGGAAAAACTGATTGGCTAAAAGATGTGATAAAATCGCCACAGTAAATAAAGCTTTGACAAACTTGATCAAACGGCTTCGCGCTCAAGTGGAGCACTGCGTTTTACCTACACGGAAACCTGTTTAAATGCCATAGACATCCAATCATTATGCCATTGGTATCCTATGCTGCTCGCAGGTAGGGGTGCAGAAAAGTTCTTCATTATTGTCAAATACTCCGTGCAGAGAGAGGTTAGAATAAAAGAGGCTGAATAGATTGTAAAAGAGGAATAATACCACTGCTTCGATGTTGAGATATCTTTTCTCTCAAAAGTTCAATGTTTAAGGCTATTTCAATAGATACAATGAATATATGAAGTTCATATACTTTGAACTGCGGTATTAGATACGTATGATGCACGACCCTCGCAGTAGATAGCGCTATTTATGCAATAGCGAAAATCAGACCTGAAAAAAATCAGGCCTGTACGGGATTCGAACCACTGACCTCTACGATACTAGTGCAGCGCTCTACCAATAGATGGTTCGAAAAACCTGTATTTTTCGCTTTGCCTTTTACCTTGGAAGTCCTTTTACATGTGACAAGCATATCAAGGATGGAAATTATTCATTGTATAAATAAACGATGACAGCTTGTTAACCACACTTGTCATCCAACTGTGCCTCGTACAAATAACGCGCGAAACGAGTATCGCACGATATTTGTTCTCTAGAAATATCCGTGAAATTCACGCACACTGAAATAAGAATTTAGCGCGTTGAATAATCTCTTTTTACACGCTTTGTTGCGTAGTATCGCTGGTATTTTTACTCGTTGTTTACACTTTGATTCGCTCTACGGGCTCGTCAAAATACGGGACAACTCGTAAAAGTACTCAGCGATACTATACAACAAAACGTCTAAAAAGATATATGTATCAGTGAAAAGGTTCGGCTGGAGTATAATTTCTGCATAACCAATCACGGTTGCACGCTTGAGTCCTTGACACCGGGTCACCTTGTTCTAAAACAAGCTTGTCAGTTTTCGGAAAAGGGCAAAAGATGTTCTTTTCCAGTCAGCACTGCCAATAAAACTGAGGAAAGAAATCTTGGTCCGGCAACCCCCATAATGTTTTTATTGCCATCATGCTGGTATTGTAAAGCTAACGTGACGAGGAAGCGTATTCAGACAAGGAAGAAATAAAAGATAAGACAATCAATGCCATCGGAATTAAGAATAAGAGAGCGGAAGAGAGTGAATAAATCCTCTTTGAGCTTCCCTTTTGTTTTAATGAATGCGTGCGTGATAAGCCGATGATTTATCGATTTGATTTATATTTAATAGGAATTCAACACCGCGCAAGACTTGAGTAAATCCAGTCACAAATATTTATCACAAATTGTGAACTGCTTTTCTTTCAATCGGTGAATTTGATCCTCTGTGGTAAGATAATCGGATTGAAAATTACCAGTTAACTTATCAGCAGCGCATTTGGAAAGTCAAATTTGAATTCGAGAAATGATTGTGGTTTTTTTTTTTAAACGCGTTATCACGAGTGGCTAAAGTTCTCCAGCTGATTTTGTCTTTTTTCCTAAGGATGATTTAAATAACAATGAGGAAAGGGGAAAAATAATGGATTTCTCAATTAAAATTTCTTATGAGAAAGAGGGTTGATCAAAATATTCCTTTTCCGTTCGCTGCCCCGCTGTGGTCTGTATGCTTAGCGGAATCCGCGCGAACTGAATCATGGACTACTTCCGAGAAGTTCCTTTTAAAGTCGACCAAAGCAGCGTTTTCGGTCATTGACCCATCTTGTCTTGGTGGAGTTTATTGTGTAATTTTCCTAGGACGCTCGCTATTTAAGTGTTAAGCTACTTTAGTTTGATATGCAGAGCTTTTAACAATTATTTTTCGCAAGGTAAGTCTTTTCTCGATGGAGAAGTTCCGAATGTAAATTTGGTGAAGTCGTTTCGCTTGTCCGGTGTGAGTTACGCTCGAGCTTGTAACTAGAGTGAATGTTAAATTTTGCTGGCTATTAGGAAAGTTGTAAGCGCGCAAGGGTTCATTTAACTGACGATCACTGTTTCACGATGTTTATAGACTTTGCGGATCTCGTTGCAGGTGACCAGAAGGTCCCAAAACAGTGTGAGTTTCGGTAAGTGTTGCTGCTAGCTAATGGCTGTTGTCATCTGCAGTATTTTTCAGGTTGAGCAAATTCCGTGGTAGTTCACTGTATTTTAGGTGGGGGACTGCTCGATTTATTTCCTCAAGTTGCATATGGTTGCACAGAAAGTGTGTATTCGTGAGCTGTTCGAGAATCTAGCCTTGTTCTTCTAACCGTGTTCGATTTTATACTGTTAATAATTACTTCGAAAGTTTTGCTGCCGTTTGCATTAGTCTGAATTTATGCAAAATCGATTGAACACTGTTTTATCTATCGAAACACGTAAGACCTTATCCGTTTCTCTGGAATTATCGTAATCGACCTTTGTTTGTAAATAGATAGCTGTTTTATTTTGTGTCGTTAAAATGTGATATTTTTTCTTCCGTTTCACGTAGGAACAAACCTCGCCTGGGTGTCAACAAGATTACTGAAATCTGTGATCGAACAGTTAGCTCGCTTAACCTGTTAAATTAAAGAACCGATTAGTATGGCTGCAATGGAAGAAGGAAATGGCGAAAATATGTCCACCGATAGTGGCCAACCAATTGGCCTGCAATATACTAGTCAGAAAAATTTTGAAATTGAGAAGAAAATCGGCAAAGGACAGTTTAGTGTGGTTTACAAGGCACGATGTCATTTAGACAACTCCATAGTTGCTCTCAAGAAAATACAGGTAAGCGTAAACTTTGACAGATGATTGAGAGGTAGAACTCATGCTAAGCCCGCGATTAATTCCTTGCTATGGTTTCTGTTCGTAATGGGGGAAATTTTCGGCCTCACACGCACAGATAATTGGTTTACTGTGCTTGGCGACTGAAGAATTCGATTCAGTTCATGATAATTTCGAGATGGTTGCCTGTTGGAGTGAGTTTAGTCGTTGCATGCACAGGCTGCCATTTATCTGAAAGGAAATTTAGCAGGGTTTTAATGTAAACAACTTTTATTACTCCAACTAAGAATGGGTTTCAAGTTTGAACAACGGAGCTCAGTCTCAAATAAAAACGTCTTCCTTACACGTATAGCAGCTAGCAGGTTAACAGTTTCCTACGTTTGTCGGAAATCCACCCAGAAACCGATAGAGGAGAAATCAGGTGCATCATGCAACAGAAAAAAAAAAAAAAGAGAAAAGAGAAAAGCCTTTCTAAAGATAGCAACACAGAAGCCAGGTGCAAATTTGTTTGCTTAGAGACAACACCATGAATTTGCATCTATGGTCAACCCCAGGGGTTTTAAACCATGCCTATATTTAGACAGTGGATTGCACAATGAAGGCATTGTGTTCAAGAAAAATGGCTACTTCAAGGCTGCAAATAACGGCCGGTCAACGGACAATGTCCGGTCAAAATTGGGTACTGACCGGACAAAACCTTGGATTGCCGGACATCTTGTCCAGTCCTTTACCGACTTGTTCAAAGAAATTTTAATTTTTAATTGTTTGATAATCACAAGGGACACAGTCATGTTTTCAAAAGAAAAAAAAAAAAAAAAACAATATGAAAGTAAACAAATTAGTGGTTGAGAAATTCCCGGCAGTCACAAATTTCCATGATGTCATCAAGTCCTGTCACGACCGCAAATCATCGTGTCTTCATTATTTTATTTACTTTATTTAAGTGTTCCCAGTTAGTAGAGGGTTTTACCTTTGGGTAGATACCATCATTTGCTCTTAAATAAAGTGATTGATTGTTTGATTGATTGAATGATCAGAAAGCACCCTCACGAAGAACAATCTTGCTGCATCAAAAATACTTCAAGTAGCATTTGTTGCAAAGTGCAAAAAGCGAGCAAAAGGCCCAAAACCTGGAGAATCCGACCACTCTTTCACTATAACAAAAATTCACAACTGTAACTTTAAAAGGGCTCTGAGTGTAATATTTAATTATAAGTGAGTTTGCCAGATGTAAAGTAAAACGGACAATTGCGGTTGTATCTTGTGTAACCTTTCAACATACTCAATGCGAGGCTGCTTCTGCAGTAAAGAGTAGTAAAATTATTGACTTGTAATTTTTATTGCCAGACCGACTTGGATTCAGTTGTTTTTTAGTTGTAAAAGGATTACTGTGCAATCTGGGTTCACTATCACAAGAGTTCCTACTGTTAAAATTTGACCGGCCAAAAATGGGTAGTGTCCGAGCAAAAGCATGTTTGACCAGACAACGTGACCGGCAACTGCCTGTTAGATATTTGCAGCCTTGTACTTGGGGTGGAATGTTCATTAACAATTTTCCTCTGAATATGAAAGAATTATGCAAGGTTAATAATTTCTCGGATTAAGTGCAAACAACATTATTCATCGGCTTGTCCTCACTCTCCTCCAATGCTACAATCTTTTGTAGTGGATGGGCTAGAATTTGATGTACATGATGATCGATATGGTAACATCTTTCTTACACCCAACTGATGCTGTTTTGATAATTCTACATTATTTGAAAAAGGAGAATAAAAGAGCAGCCAGATAAACAAACCAATTTGCCAATTTGTTTGTTACGATTATCAATGCTTTCTGCTTCGTCAAGTTTATTGAGAGTGATTTTTGGAAGAAAATTCCTCATCAATACAAGTCATTATTGGAGCTTTGAACGACAATGTTCTAATTGATTACCTGCTTTTCAATTTGCACATAAAACATGATATAAAGCATACCTACAACTTTGCAGAGAGGGGGCCAGATTATTTTTTTGAGTTTCAGTTGAGTTATATGATTTCGGCAAGTTATTTTCAAGCTTTTCCAGACAATTATATCTATCGGGGCAGGGGAGTTGTGAAAATAGTTAATATCTACCATTTGTTATAACATATCTAATAGTTTCATGATGATTAATTTATTTGCCAACTCCCTAAATATTTCCCACTGATATGTGTGGTTATCTAATAAGTTTTCTTTCCTATGTTACTCTTTGAGATCTTTGAAATGATGGATGCAAAAGCAAGACAAGATTGTATAAAGGAGATAAAGTTACTTCAGGTAAACATTTAGTCCGGAGCAATTGCCTCCCATAAATACATTTGGTTGAGTTTGCAGATGGTTTTGTTCCTGTTGGAAGTTTTTAAGGGTGTCTGTGGTTAAATCTCCAAAGTTTTCAAAACATGCATCAGATTGACTTTACAAGTTTTGTTAAGAAATGGGAAAATTCTATATTATAGATTGCAAGTGCCACTAATCTCCACTACAAAAATTTTTTGCCACTAGGAGAAATTTTATTGTTTTACTGATCATAACATTGAAAGAATAACACCTTGCAATTTGACAAGCAGTTTTAAATACCTCAATTTTTTAAGTTCACGACCATGCATCTTGGGACCTGGGTAGAGGAAGGTTGTAATGTCATCCCAAGAACCATTCTACAAGGTTGCAATGTAAAACTTTAGTCGTGAACATGAAGGAGGCCAATTTTGGGATCTTTGAAATTCATCAAAAATATTTTACTGTTAACAGCAAGACAAGGAGATTTATTGTGTCAAAAAAAAAATAGGGGTTGGCAGCACTTTAAGAGCATGTTACTTTCCAGTTTATGTTTGTGAAACATAATCAAAATTCGGTGGCATGAAAATTTTAGTTACCAACAACTCTTCTTGGGGTTTGAAAAGAATAGCTGTAGCTGGTTAGCAGGTAGATGTATATACCCACGTAAAATGAGCCTAGAGGCTACCTGCAGCCTGTTGACAAACGTCATTACATTCAGACAACCTATCCAAGTAAGTTGGCTTCTGAGGACAATAAAACCATACAGATGAAGACCCTACAATTCAGGAAAAGGGTCACCTGGAAGGCTTGAGTTCAAAATTTAAAATTTCCTGGGGAAAATGCCCCTCCACCCTTTTAGGTTCAGAATGCTCTTAAACTTAGTCAGAAAATCATGCCCACTATCTAAAATTAATTTTATCTTCTTCCAGCAACTAAACCATCCCAATGTTATAAAGTATTTGGCTTCTTTCATAGAGAATAATGAGGTATGTTTATGCTATATCAATTCTTTTTTTGTCCTACCTGTGCAGCAACAAAACTTGTAGTTTGCAGCTCTGAGCTGATTGTTTCTTTCCGAAAGTAAAATTTGTGCACAAGAGACCAGCACCAGCACTCACTTGTGCGAAACAAGAAGCAGCTGTCTTTCAATTTTAGTCATATAGAAAAAAAGTAGAAAACCAGATTACAATTGCTGTACAGTATCTGATTTTTCCTAACTCGATCACTAACGACTCAAATAATCTTGTTTTTTTTTTATTCAACTGTCCACAGCTTGTAATTGTATTGGAATTAGCAGATGCAGGGGATTTATCAAGAATGATAAAGGTACAACTTACACAGTCATTTACATGTACCGGTACATATATTTTATTGATATTGATAACAGGACTGCATGATAAATCCAGTCTTGAATCATATAACTGATAAACAGGGATAATAATATTCATATAAAATTTTCCATGATTGTGCAACACAAGCGGAAATAGTGGGTGTGCTGTCAAAATTTTATGCATGTGTCTCGACTTTTGATGCTCTTTTCATGGAATTATTAACAAGTAACAAGATTTCCTGCACAATTTGGAGTAATAAGTACTTTAAACTTTTCAAAGACCTCCAATTGTACTATCCATAAAGGCTCGTGTAATCATTAACACCAAACTGCGCTCAAAATCATGTTATTACCTATACAAATTGGATGACACAAAGTACGGTTACTAATCAGTAAAAACTACCTTAAAAACCTGCAGATAAGCCACACCTTTTTTCCAAAAATCATTGCTAGAAATTGGGGGTGCAGCTTATCTGCAAGAACATTAGAAAAAGGTGTCGAGTTTTCTATTTTTGCATCCAATCTAATGCCTGGTTACTACGCTTTGAATGTTCTGCCCCCATTTTTGTTGTAATGTAAAAATCTACTGAAAAACTGTGTTGAATGAAGAAATTCCTGTCAACAAATACCAGAAAAAGATCATAGATCAAAGAAGAAACAATATTCATTATATTTAAAGTGCTAAAATTGTTGGTTTTGAAGTATTTTCTGTTGCAATGTCAATAGTGAGTTTACGTTCAATGAACAGTAGATTAAGAAGACTTATCAAGAATCTACTTTGGATTTCTTTTTATTTCTTTTAAAAAATTTTTTTTTCCAAAATTTTAGCTGCTAAATTCAGGGTGTGGCTTATCTGCAGGGTTTTTTAACAGTTTATTAATTTTGTGAAAACATTTGTGAAACAAATACTATTGCATTCAAATGTCTTAGATAAATCACAACAGGTGACTTTTTTAAAATGAGAAAGTGGATGTAATAGTCTGTAAAGAAGCATGAAAAATCTGTAATGTGATGTCACTAGGGTGCCATTGTTCTCCCTTAATTTAAGCATGACAGATAAAAGACATTTTTAAACCAGAAGAGCAATCCTTTTACTTGTTGAATTTTTTAAGAATTCCAAGCAATTTTAGGCGGTAGTTAGGAGTGCATCAGGTGGTACATTTTACCATTTACCACTGGAATAAGAGAACACTGAGTCACACGGCTTCAAGGCATCTATTCTCTTATTACATTGTCTATTTATAAGATTGACATATACACAGTCCAACTAGTAGTCAATTTTGGCTGCTTGTAGTTGGTTTGGTGTTCAAGAATTTTGTTTCATTTTTTTGCAAATAACAATACCATGAGATCTTAAATTTGTTAATGGACCAACTGTATAATTATTTATTTTCTTCCCTTTTTTCAGTAATAAAGCCTGAAAAACATGAAAAAAGATGCATTAGGAGTCTAATACTAATTTATTGCAATAAGAAACGAACTACTTGTTAGGTTTTCAAAAAGAACCATTTGCATGAAATGTAAATTTTTATTTTATTGTTGTTGTTGTTGTTTTTTTTTTTGTTCATTTCAAACAGCATTTCAAAAAACAGGACAGATTGATTCCAGAGAGGACAGTTTGGTAAGTATTGACTGTAAACATTGAAGAGAGTAGTTGTGATTATGCAGAAAATATCTGCTTTACTGTCAATCCTGACCAGTGGATTTTTAGAATTTACATCAATCTTCCAGCTGTTTTGTGGGAGTTGGTGAAGGGTGGCATTAAGACTGACAGAATCACATGTGAAACTGCTGAGAGTGGTAGTGGAATGTTTCCCTTTGAGCTGGTATTTATAGGGAAGTCAACCAATCATGGTCAAAATGTTTGGGAACCCTTGTACAGGTTATCAATTTTTTTTGTTGTTCAGTAGGGGTGAGAAGAAACCTGAACAAGGATAAAATTTTATTTATTTTTATTTAATTTGGCATGGCTTTTATCATTTATGTGCACATTTAACACAAAACCTGCATGTTTTCAGTGTTAGAATTTCAGATCTGTAAATACATTAATTGGTTTCATTTGATGTTTCAGGAAATACTTTGTTCAACTGACTGCAGCTCTGGAGCACATGCATTCAAGACGTGTCATGCACAGAGGTTGGTGAACTTTGTAACTACAATTGACTCATCATCTTTAATTTTGTCAATTGAAAATTGGCACGCCAATAAATATCCCCCTCGTTTTCAACTTCACTTAGTTTTTCTTTCAAGTCAGCTAATTGTACTTGCAGTAGCTCTATTTCCCGTTGCAGCTTAAGAACATCTGATTGTTGCAGGGCTGGTGAAGATGAAGCAGCATTGACAGTTGACACAGCTGCTTCAACTTCTTGGTGAAATGATTCCTGTTCAACTTCAAATGACTCTTCTTGAGTTGTCACAGTTGCTACTGGGACCCTTTAAGCAAGCATTTTCCGTGGTTTTTTCGGTACTGACTAGTTTAATCGAGATGGTTCTGCCCATATATATAATAATAAACTCATGATTTTATTAAATTTTTAATTTTACATTTTAATTTTACATTATAATTTTATAATTTTACATTCAGTTCACAGATATCGTATAAGACCACAGTGCACAAAGAGATATAAATGTCACTTTTTAATAAGAAGAAAAAAATCCCAGCATAAACACTACAATACCGAAAATCAAAGCTCCATTTTCTTTTGGTATCCAAGCAACAAAACAACCGTACAAACATTATAAACCTTTCACCAATTTCCAGCGACCTGCCCACGTTTTTTCGCATGTCTTCTGTTTTGAAATGTTCTGAGCACAAAGAAGTTGATTTTGTGATGAAGAATCCGTCCTTTGCATGCTGGCGCTTCAGGAGATTGCACCATCTGATTCGCTGCTGGACGTCATTCGGAAACAAGAAGAAATGCAGACCTGTTGGATTGCCTGTTGTGTCATAATAGCTATTAGCACAACCAAAAAGCGGCACAGTGTCTTCCTCTCCTTTTCGAAGAAGAAGGAGGAATATCCTGCATAGGGAAAGTATCGTTCATTGTCGAAATATCTCAATGAAAAGGACAGAGCACCACCACATCTCACTAAACTCTCACTAGAACTCGCAACGCAACTCAACACTAACCTCGCTATCATGTTTGCGCGGTTACACATCCAATATGGCGCTGGGAACTGTGAAAAGGGCTATTGAACTCTGTGCCTGCTGCATTTTTGTATCATAGCTTGAGGTATACTATGCTTTCTGCAAAGAGACCTCCCCATCCTATGAGGCTGCCTTGCTATGAGCAAATCTGTTCGCATGATGTTTTCGAGGTGTGAGTCACTGACAACAGCATGAATATATTAAGCACCCTCACTCACTCTGACATCTGTAAATATTTGATTGCTGTAATACTTTAAGACCTACAGATCGAGTTTTACACTATGCTTTCTCTAGCAAAGAGGATTATTTTTTCCTATTAATGAAGTTTACATTTGTTACCTCTTCAGAGAAGAGTCAATTTTGCGACGTTACTGTTGTGGTGGTTTTCAGAAGACTAGCCTTTCAATTGTTAACACATTTTCTCTACAGACATCAAGCCTGCTAATGTCTTCATAACAGCATCTGGTGTGGTAAAGCTTGGTGACCTTGGTCTTGGAAGATATTTTAGTTCTAAGACTACTGCTGCACATTCTCTAGGTGACAAAAAAGTATTCCTATACCTACTGATGATTTTATGAACCCTTAAAATCCCATTATTGACTAAGACAGAATTTCCCCTTACAATATCAATACAATGTCTAGCAGATAAGTAATAAGAATAAAGAAAAATATCAATAAGGGCCGGGATTATTTGTGTACACGATAACAAAATTAATTCTCCAAGCTAACATCACAAGAATTGTATGGTAGACAGTAAGAAGAATGGATAAAAATGAGATCTGGGATTAAAAGGGTTCATTTAATTTAGCCATGCCAAACCCCTAAGAGACTAACATTTAATAGATGACTCAAGACACATGAGCTCACTATATCAGGGTAAAGTTACATTCACTATGACACAAGTCTACTCCCAAAGGATATCAGAGTAGATGTGAGCCAGAGATCTAAGGATAGAATTACATTGCTACACTAAGTCAAGTCTACACTTGGAAATGTGACTTCAGTTTGAGTCTTACAAGGGGAAATTTAAGTGATGCGATGACACAAATCTACACAACTAGAAACCCGAGCTGAACTCAAATTTTCAGGGTTAAACTTTGATAATAGTTATACACTGTCACAAGTTCCCAACCTTTGTGCAAGTGGAAGATCAATACAGGATAACAGTCTAGGCATTAGCCATAAACTTGACTGTTGTAGTGATATGATACTCATGTAAGTGGCGTAACCTAGGTTAGCTAGTTAAGTAAGATTGGTGAAATTTTGTGGATACTTAATATTTGAAAGCAATTTTTTTCATTGTCAGTGGGGACACCATATTACATGTCACCAGAGAGGATACATGAAACTGGATATAATTTCAAGTCTGATATTTGGTCTTTGGGTTGTCTCTTATACGAGGTAAGTTACACTAGCTAAAGGTACCAGAAGATGAAGAGAATGCTGTCAAATTATCCTTGAGGGTATTATTTGGCAGTATCCACAGGACACAAGTTCAACTATAATAATTAACTGATGGTATATGCACCGTAGTAGGACTTACTGAATAGTGATGATACTATCTGCAAGGGGGTGTGGACAAAACCTGGCCTAGGCCATGGCTACCCTGTAGCCTACCCTGTAGCCTACCCTGTGACCTACCCTGTGGCCTACCCTATGGCCTACTGGTGGCCAGATTTTTAAAAGGATAGCATTGCTGGAAACCTTTCAACGTTTTCCTGAGTAGTCTTACCAACAACTTTCTTCTGCTGTTTTGGCGGCCACATTCTGATAAAAATTTCTTAACCTTCTGATAGAATAAGGAAATCGAGGAACAGGAGCCGGTTAAATGCAACTTTTGGGCAAACATCATCATATCAGCTCACCTTTCAAATTAGTGCAATACTGGCCCTTTCTTTGGAAAAGCAAGTAACGTTTGCGAAATATTTACAAAGACAATGCAAGCGTGTCCCGGGGTGCTCATTGCAAATTCAATACTCTACAGCACTTGAGGGCACTTAAAAAATTGGCCTGGCACGTGATGTTTGCGTTTTCTTACCTGGATATGCATGCTCTCCAATATAATGCCGTTCATTACATTTTTACACCAGCACTCCACTATAATGTTACCAACTGACAGCCTGCATAAAGCTGCCATTTGTAGATCCTCTGGGACCATGCAATATTGGCCCCTCCTCTTCCCTCCCCCTTAACCTACTGTTATGGTTGAGTGCTGTGATATTTGCAGTGTTTCATTCCCTCATATGTTGAAAATCATGTTAGGGACCTCTTAGTATACCCTTTTCAGAGACAGATAATTGTACACCAGCGTATTCATTCGACTCTTACTGATTTTATTTTTATGTTTTAAAAATCTGACCACAGGTAGGCCACAGGGTAGGCCATGGCCTAGGCCAGGTTTTGTCCACACCCTATACAAGGTGATAATGAAAGAAAAAGTGTTATATTTAAATAATTTGTGGTCTTCTTTGTACAAATTACTTTGACAGATGGCTGCCCTCCAGTCACCTTTCTATGGTGACAAAATGAATCTGTACTCCTTGTGTAAGAAGATAGAATCTTGTGATTACCCCCCTTTGCCAGCAGAACATTACTCTGAAAAGGTAGTACAATGTAGCATGTTTTTCACAATTGAACCGCTTTCTTCTTCATCTTTTTTGTTTGTTTGTTTTCTTTTGTATAAATATTACACCCTTACAAGTATGAGAATTTTTTTCCTTTATAGAAAAAATGCAGTGGCCAGAATAGTTTCTTTTAAATTAGTAGTATTAAACAGTAAATATATTGAACCATGGAGTAACCCCCAAGGGTGGGTTCTTATCCTCCTCAGGACTACACTCACCCGGACGATCAGACTACACCTTGACATGTTACCCCAGGGTTCAAACCATTTACTGCATTATCCTCCTCTGGTGAAAAAAACTTTTCAGTGGACTCTGATAGTGATTTACCCTCAGGTTGTCAAAATCTCAGTTACTTCCAATGACAGTCATCTATCTTTGCTCCAATGGTTGACTTTGTTGTCAAAATTGGTAACAGTTACTAATTATGGTGTGTGAGAGATGTATTGACCCAACAGTTGGCATGCAAGAGTTGGGGTGGAGAGGGCCAGGTTGGAAACCTCAGCTGGGGTGTTTTGTTGTGACCCTGAGCAAGACAATTATTTTATTCTCACAGTTGAAATGTCAGTAAAGCTTGACAAAATGCTGCAGGGGGGAGGTGACTTGTGTTAAAACAAGCATATCATCCAGGGGGAGTTGCACTACTCCCATGGGTGTCATGGTATGGAGATTGGGATGAGCTTCAGCATCTTGGGTTCCTCTTGGCTAAGTGCAGACTTAACATTTTTCTTTTATTAATCAAGATCATATGTGCCTATTCTTGCAGTTGCGTGATTTAGTGAGTCGGTGTATTAAATCTGATCCAGACCAGAGGCCAGGGATCACAGAAGTTAATGAAGTGGCACAAATGATGCATGCAGGCAATCTTCACCAGTCCCCCTCTTCACCCCAAATGAGACAATAATTTTAAAAAACTTGATGTGTGTTGTATCAGTGACACATTGAGTAATTTATTACAAATGTTAATGCCCTAAAATTCCTGGTTGATTGTACCTTGTAACATATCTTAATTTTTAAAACTTGAGTGAAAATAAAGAAATTCTCGAAAAATGAGAGAAACCTGCTGATGAATATGAATGGTCAAGAAATTTAAAACTGAAAAATTCTGATCATTTAACTGTAGGGTAGCATTTCCAGATTTTTTAAATTGCCTGAACTTTAGAACTTTTCTCAGTGGATACAGTGTAATTGGGTTTACAATGTCAATTCACAGTGAACTGCATGCAAAATGGAATTTCACAGCGTGAAATTAAATGTAGCAAACATTACATAATTTGCACAGGTGAATGAACATTTATTCATAATGCAGAAATATAAGCTGCAAATTTACACCTCTAAAAGTTTTTTTTTTGTTTTTTTTGTCCTTCTCTCAAAAAGAACTAAGTTGCTTTAAACCCCATCAGTGAAAATAACATGTTGCAACTTTTCAAATATTAATTTTTACAAATTGCTAACTGGATTTTAACTACAGAAAGTGGTTTTTAGAGATCTCACCTCTGAAGTCTCAAGTCTAAACATGTTTTATCATCCTCTTGCCTTTCACCTTATTTATAAATCCATTTAGTGTGTAAAATGTATGTTACTTTAAGCAAGTTGTGCAATATAGTTTCAGGGTGTACCTAGAAATAACAACTTTGGCACTTTGCATAAGTCTGAGACCTTGTGTCTCTCAAAATGGCAACTCTCTTCAAGATTGCTAATAAATCTCATTTTACAAAACAGGAGACCTAATTCCTTGTCTCTATCATATTTGCTTCCCATAATTATTACCCACTGATGAATACTGTGATTTCACTAATATGGTTTGAAAAAAGTGCTAAATTGACATTTGTCAGTACAAGTAAGTTCTTTTCAAATTCTGGACAGAGAATTCTTCTCAAGTTTGCATTCCTCTCTGCATGTGGCTTTGTAGCTCAGTTGAAAGTATCTGAGAAGCACCGGTTCATCTCCTAATCGTTCACTTAGACAAAGGAAGAACAGTAGTGGACAGTGTTTTAAAGGCCCATGAGTGAAAAAAGAGGGAGGTTTGTTTCCAACCCAAACCTTTCTTTACTTTTTACTTCTCCACTACCCATGATATTTTGCTCCATTTTACTAAGTGCCTTGAATAGGCTACCCGGCCTGATGTATACCCTCAGCTTGTGTGAGGAGGGTAGTGTTTCTCTCCTGAACCACTCGTCAATGACCCAAAGCTCAGCATAGAGTAGTCCTCACCTTGGTTAAACAGGATAATTTGAATATATCAACAAAGTTGAAATGGTAAATTGGCCACCGTTACGATTATAAAAGCTGACGTTTCAAGCGTTAGCCCTTCGTCGGAGTGAATGATGAAGAGCTAACACTCGAAATGTCAGCTTTTATAATTGTAACGCGGTGGCCAATTTACCATTTCAACTTTGTTGATATTTTTAAATTATTTCGTTACCCCCACCGACGCAGCCCCAAACAGTTTCTTTAGAAACTATCAGCCTTTATTCATTAGTTAAACAGGAGCCTTTTTGCAAGCTGGCATGAGGGATAGGCTGTCATTTCTTTGGTGAGGGGAATTAAATGATTTTGATGACTCCCATTCCTTCAGCATTCTCTGAATGACAATGTTTTTAGGCTTAGCTTCTGCTGCAAACAAATCATTTCAAGGTTTTTCATTCCCTCATCTTTACAACAATGCCCTTAGTAGCTAAATAGTTAAGCCCCTGTAATTTTTTTGATGGTAAGTCTATTTTATAAAGAGAACTGTATGTAGAGAATACATAAAGATCTCATCTAATTTCAGGAAGAAGAGTCTATAGAATATACCAATGGGAAGACAATCGTTAAAATTTTTTCAAGATTGATAGTTGTTTTAAGTCTACCCACAAACTAAAATCATTATGATTCTCAAATATTTATTACGTCTGGTTGGAATAAGGGTGGAGTACTGGTAGTAATGTTGCACTAAACAAAACACAGTCACTGCTGTCCTGCGCATTTTCCTTTTATTTCAAACCTCTCTATTAACATGGCACACATTTCCTTGTAGACTTTCTGATAAAGCAGTTACACTGTTTAGTTTTAGAAGAGTCTCAGCTTAGCGTAGCAGTTCTAACTACAGCTATTATGAGAGTACAAATCCAATAGGGAATAAACAAAAAGTATGGAAATATCACATTTCCATGGCTTCTCCTGTTACTTTGGTCTCTGTCACTTCCATCATGATGGGTTTTACATCTTTTGTTAGAATAGCTGCAGAGACGTGATAAAAAAAGAATTTGTCAGATTGTATTTTGGAAGCAGAAGCAATAGTAAGCCATAATTATACAGAGTGACACAACTTTGAACTGGGAATAAACTTTTCTTAACTTCTCAATGATTCTCTCCACAATTGGTAGAGCGCTGCACTAGTATCGCAGAGGTCAGTGGTTTGAATCCCGTACAGGCCTGAATTTTTTCAGGTCTGATTTTTCACTATTGCTTAAATAGTGCTTTACTGCGATCGTGCACATATAAATAAATTGTGTACGTCCTAATGGTGCTTTGCAATATTCAAAATATGGACTTTAATATATATCAGGTGTAAAAAGATACAGGCTTAAAAATTGGTTGAGGATCTTTCATGTTTACATTTTTAGATCAATAAATTTGAAAGGAATTGCACTGGTCTCAGAAATTGTACATGGTTGGAAACATGAAAGAGGAAAACTTGCACACACTCTTTTTTTCACTTGACTTACCTTTAAATGTTCAAGCATGTGGTAAATTAAAAACTGTGCAAGGGCTAGGGTTGAGCTTTTTTGGTGATTTTAAAATACTTCTTTGGGTCTTAAGGAATAGTTCTCCCTAACAAAATGTGATCAGTCAAATTATTTCTGTTGTTTAAGTTGTAGTTGGTGTTAGTTTTGATGTTCAGTGGTTCACACTTGCAACAAACCTGTGGTGCCTCTGTTGTAAGAGTACTTTCCTTGCCTGATGCCCTTCTCATTTGCCACATCATAAGGCCTGAGGTATTGTGTTCCTTCTTTGGTTATGACACATAGATCAACATTACTGCCAGATCCCTACAAAGCAGATCAAAGCCAGAAAACAATTTATTAAAAAAATTGCTTCACAAGTTATGCTCATACAAACAAAAATGTGGCTTCTCTAAACACACAAGCTTCACTTTTAACATCAAAGCAAAAATTTACTAACCAAATCATTGAATATTCCTGCAGCAATTGCATCACGAACAAGTTGTTTAGCATCCTCAAGCTAAAAAAAAAAAGACAAAATATAACTATAATTCCAAACATAATTCACAAAGCCTTAATAACTGCAACAACTCTTTTACAATGTTCACCATTATCACGCAAAAGTTTTAGTTCCAAGTGATTACCTCCATATCGGGCTTGTATCGTGACTCAAACACAGACATAGCAGCCAAGGAACCAGAACCTTAAATTTAAACAAACAAGTAATTGTTATTAAATCATTTCAAAGAATCACTTTACATGACCCTTGACATAAGTGATAACTTCAGCTTATGATATCAAAAAGCTGGTCACTGTCACTGATAACAGTACTTTACAGGACTACTTTTGGTGAGACAATCATGGCAACCCATGATCAAATATTACTCCAGTTCAAACCACTTATTGACCTACTGTAATGCCTGATCTGTATAATTATGTGCACATTGCACATGTACATAACCACCTAAATCAATGACCTTCTTCACCTTCTTGATGAGCTATGTGCATCTACCTGATATTTACTTACCCATTGTGACATATGGAAGCTTATCAGTACTTCCATGAGGGTAGACAGTGTGAAGTGTGGGGCCATTTAAGTCTACACCCCCAAGTACAAGTGCAGCACTGATGTATCCTTGATATCTAAAGAACAAAGAACAGCATAGACTAAGTGATGTCAGTTCTGAAAGAAGTAAGTGTTAGGAGAAATGTCCAACAAATTATGGAAAATACAGGTATGTACATGCATTATGAGTAAGAATTGCACTTTCTTTAATCTGTCTAGATTAAATACCTGAAGAGCAGCTGTTTCAACATGCGTAAAGCTGTAACAATCCTGGCCTGCAAAGGAAAGTGAAATGAAATACTGAGCTGTATCATAAAATCAGCCAAGGTCCAGACTTTCCCTCTATAATCAGCAAACCATTTAGCACTAAGTTTCATCTTTCAATGAAGCCTTCCTTTGCACAGTCTCCACTTTTGTAAAATGTCAAGTTTAAAAATTATAGTTCCTAGCAAGGAAAACTAATGTCACCTTCCCTACATGTAAATTTGACATGTAAATCAAACCTAAGCAAGTCGATATTTTATCACAGAGCTCATTGTTGTAAATTATCTAACTAGCAAAGCCCATATAAATGATTTATAAAATTACCTGTCGTCCAGTGGATAAGCTATGGAGCTGAATGTTGGAGGAGATAAGATTTGTGACATATTCTGTATCAGCAGCAGTGCCAGCCCCACAGCAGCTGAAAAAGAAAGTTTGGAATGCGTGAATTTTAAAAATTAGCAGATAAATGGATTACATCAGTCACTAAGAAATGTTATGCACACAGGTACACAAAGTTCAAAGTGTCTCACTAAGTCAGAAAACACTGACACAAAAGTTTAACCCATTCCACCCTAAAATCAGTATGCATATTCTGTTCTCTATACATTCCCTAGTCAAAGAATTTGTTAAACAATCCAGATATTCTTTTTTAGGTGATCATTTTCTTTATTCTTGTGACCTTACTGTGTGATTCAGAGGAAATATTGTGAGAAGAAATCAGATGCTGGTCACTATTGGCGGTCTATGTTTTAAGTACTTACTAAATATTGGGAGCTATGTAGTGGATCTTGGAGCAATTTTTATCTGCAACAACAGTATCCTACAAAGTAACAAGCAATAAAAATGAAACATATGTCAAGATCATGAGCCAAAAACAACAAAAAAAACCACAAACAGAGTAACGTGCATGTAGATTTGTACTATTTTTAGTGAAGAATGGCAGCCTCTATCATGATATTTCACATGCACTAAAATTTGCCCTTGTACGAGAGTTTTCCAAGCCTACCCCTCACAGTTTTGTGATGTTGAGCAGTACTACCAAATAAGCTGGTGAGCACATGCGTGTGAGAAAAAGAACTAGAAGGTTGTGAGAGCGCGAGTTTATGGAAAGTTTTTCCATCAAATTTAGTGAGAGTTTTGTGAATTAGATTGAAGCGGAATAAACCAGGAAATTGTGTTATTGTGAGTTCTATGGACTGTTTTATTGTTCGGCTCACCCTCAAAGATGTTCTTCAGTGATAAGACTCTAATGAATTTCCACAAGTTGAGGAGAAGCTAGCAACATTTCTTTATAATACCATACTTGATTAAGTGCATGCTTCTTCAATAAAAGAATGAAATGGCGTAAAACAAGTACTACCTGCAGGGCTGACTAGAGCTTCTCTTTAAAGTAGTATAAGGTTAGGCAGAAATAATTCCAAAAGGCTTAATTGTACAGTTAAGAAGGAATAGAAGCCAAGCCTGTAATTCGGCAAGGAGTTTGCTACTATTGATTTTCGGCCCACACCAGAATTTCAATTGTATGATATCCTCTATCTACAGTATTTAAGTTGTTAAAGAGGAATATGCCTAAAGGAAGCCTTATTTCATATATCTTTAAACCTCAATAACAGTCTCATTGGTTACCAGCACAAAAGAAATGCAAATCTAAAAAAATTGTTTAAAACTGTTTTTAAAAAAGCTGATACTAACCTCTGTAGCTCTTGTATCAGCGCCTAATAAGACACCATCCTACAAAGGTAACAGTGGACAAATTCAGACAATCCCATCATTAATACAATGCATAACTAGTTTACATGTGCTCATGACAAATGTCTTTGGGGTTGAATCGACCCAATGCACAGATCTTACAGTAAAAAAAATATCGATTCCGAAGACATTTTTTTCTTAAAACGCATTAATTACGAACAAATTAATCACTAATCTGGGTGAAGTAAATAAAATCTAACCTTAAAGACAATTCCCGCAATTGTTGTACCAGTTTTCCTTGCTGTGGGCAGCTTAGCACCCATTTTCTCCAGTATGGCATTTCTACGATGGGATCAAAAAGTTAGAGCTGATGGTAGGTGATCAAACAAAATTCCTTGTTCTTAAAATTTATACCTTTTGCAGTTTTCAAACGAAAATCCGCCTTGATTTTCTTGAGCTACAATTCCTCCGATGGCCGCCATTTTGAAAATTTTCGTGGAGTCATTCTTAGTATGCATGTACTTACTATAAAATCCGCTGGTACAGTGTGGACTCTTGACCCAGCCCCTCTCTTTTGTTTCGGATCGAAGATGGCGGAAAATTTTGAACAACTTTGTTCCTTTAAAGTTCTCGACTCTATTCTCGTCGAAAAATACCATTCCAAGAGAACAGGCATTAAATTTTGCTTTGCTAAGGTTCCTGGTCCTTTGGTTAATGGTTTCCTTTGTCTCGGTAAGTTGAGAGCACTAAACATTATTTTTTACAAAGCGGCGAGTACGCACCTTTTTCCGGTTTCATCCGCTCAGCAAACTTTATCAAACATCTTTCCTGTAAAAAAAAAAAAAAAGAGAGAAAAAAAATTTGGAAAGAAACGTACGAAGCTCTTATCTAGAGAGAGCTAGTTCTATTGGTAAGCGTTCAATATTCAATATTTCAAGGGCATCAATTACTTGAAATGACTTAGAAAGTTTATACAGCGTTGCGCACCGTAGCGGCACGAACGCGTACTGCAGACATGTAGAGTGCATGGGGCAGTATGCTACGGTAGGCTCGGGATGGTTTGAATTATCTAAGGGATGAAGCGCTTTATTCCATTTGCATAGTAGTTAGTTTTTCCTTGATAATCTCAGAATACTAATGGTGATCATTTAAATGAATAGTTTAAGGAAAGGAAGTTGAGATATGTTTTCATCCGTTAAGTTAGTAATTTTTTTTGTCGTTAATGCAGCAACCGAGGCTCATGACGATGATGGTTTGCCACACACTTTGGAGCACTTGGTATTCATGGGAAGTGAAGAATATCCTTTTAAGGTGAGATGTTGCAAAGAATGAAGGTGAAGGTATTAAAAGCAGTGATCTCTCTCGCTTTGTTCAGTGGATACCATCATGGGAAAATAAATGTTGCAAACAGGTTTACATTCAGTTTTCCTTTGTTTCAATATACTTAATCTGGTACACCACGAAAATAACAATCATACCATTCTGAAATCATTTTGACCTAATTTTTTTTAAAACTACAATAAATATACTTTCCCTCTCTTTGCTATGCTTTTATTTTCTCCTTAATGCTTGTATTTCACCTAGTGAGTCTGGGATATGGCATTTTGTAAGTCGTAATTTGTCCATTTTTTCGAACTAGATTCAGAAATTCAAATTAGCTGAATCTTCTCTTTTTTTGCCATATTGTAGCAGGCAACAAACAAGAATGATTTCAAAGTGTGACACTTTTGTAAAGGATGTTATGATATAATATAGTGAAGACATATCTTGTTTTCCAGGTTGCAACACATAATTATTCTGTTTTAAATTTATCTGATTTTGTCCATTCTTGGGCTATTTTAGCTTTTTGGTGGTTTTATTCAATCTTTTAAAATGCTTTAGATAATTACTAGTCACTGGTTTGGTACCAATGAAACTGAAATATTTATTTCATAGAAGGACAATGAAATAAAACTGAAACCACTTTATGTAAGAATTGCAAGATGTAGAATAAATAAACTTTTGTCATCCTTTCTTGGGAAGAAAGCTATGACATCAAAACTGGAAAGGTTTGAAAGTAACATAACAACATCAGGCAATTAAATTTGTTCAAGTTTACACAAGTGAGATTGTAGCTGTATTTGGAAAAAAATCTAACAAACACTGCTCATTTCCTGGAACAATAAACATTTATTTTATCAAAGTATGGAACAAAAGGCAAGTGAATTTTTTATGAGAAAATGTAAGTTTTTATTGATCTCCATCTCCTTGTGATGGCAACTCACCAAGATCAAGGAGCTCCATGCTATATCTTTGTGGAATACTCTACAAAAAAAACTAGAAACAATTTATTATTCACTAAATTGCAGCCTTTATCAACTGGGAAACTTATCTAGGTACCCTCTGTATGGTATAATGCGTACTCTTACTAAAACAAAGGTGAATTTACCATTTACATGGTTTATGTAACTTGCAGGGTATGTTAGATTTGTTTGCTAACAGATGCTTGGCACAAGGAACCAATGCATGGACAGCCACTGACCACACAGCTTACACCATGGAAACAGCTGGCAGTGAAGGCTTCCTGAACCTTCTACCCATCTATTTGGATCATGTGCTTTATCCAACTATTACTGTAAGGAACTTTCCAGCATTTTGATTTACAGCTATAATTGTTGTTTGTAGCAGCTTTCTTGTCAAGGAGTTTCTTTAAAAAAAAACAGTCATTTGGCCCTGGTTGTTTGAATTGTGGTTGCCGAAGGGCAACTTTTTGACAAAATGAGCTTGGAGCCCTGGGGGATATTTCTTTGCTAAAAAAAACCTCATGTGTATTCTTGGACAGAAAGAGGTACTTTGGTACTTTGAGAAAGAAGTGTGTTGCCGTGTTGACTTTAACATACATTGTAACAAATGAAGAGAACTCAAATCTTAAAATGGCTTAATGCAGAATCAATTATCTGATCATCCAATTCCCCACAGATTCAGAAAAAGAGATATCTATCTACTTAGTCTTAAATTTACTAATTTAAGTTGTGTACTCACCTTGTGATATTATAGGAATCAGCATATATTACAGAGGTTCACCATGTGAATGGTGAAGGAGAAGATGCAGGTGTTGTTTACTGTGAGATGCAAGGGAGAGAAAACATGGAGACATCAAGGACTTACTTGAATTTTACACGCGAGATGTACCCAGGGGTCTGTGGCTATAAGGTGAAAAGTGCTTCGCAAAACTCGAGCCTCTAAACTTGATTCTCAACTCTCAAAAGTTTTAGGAATCAAGAATGGAGGCTTAAATTAAGACTGTCATCTTAACTTTGAGCCGTTCTGTGAATAACCATCAAGGTGCACAGGCACGAGGTTATGCTGTGCAGCAGATTTGAACAGTTTAGAAAATGAGGCTACTAGAAAAGTCTGGTATTGTGTGAGAACTCTCTTGCTGGTCAAACAAAGTTACAGGACTGTATGTTAACAATGTCAAAGCATTTACAGTACTACGTGCACCATTAGGGTCTACTGAAGCTCTCTTTGCAATGATAATGCCTAAACAAGATTTTGCATATTGAGGAAAATTATCGGCACTGATGAAATAATTGAAAATTAGAAGTTTAAGGGTTGCTCCTCATTTTTAAGGCATATAGGACAGGTTGCATTGGCAAAAAATTGTGGGAGAAATAAAATTTTTTGGTTTTCTTTTTTTTCTTTTTTTTTTTGGTTGGTTATTGTAGGACATCAACATTCATTTGCTAATTTTTACCCTATGAATAATTTTACTACAGTCAGAGACTGGAGGAATCATGGAAAATCTACGAACAAGTTGTAGTCACACTAAGGTAAATGGTACAGTAATGGTTTGAATCAAGAATCACAATCTGATCGTAAAGTCTGGTAATCTGGGTTAGAGTAGTCCTGAACTGATGTTTCATGAACTTGAGTGTATCATAGCCTAAATGTATTAAGCAACTTTTACAAAAGTGCTTAACATGTAATTTTCATAGAGCATCTCAGATTAGATCCTTTTTGCTTCACAACATACATGTATGCATGTACGCAGAAATACATCCTTGCTAATCTCAACTTTTCTCTTTTACCGCCTTGCAGGTCTGTAACTACCATCAACAGTATTACCGTCCAGAAAATTTGTGTGTTATCATCACTGGACAGATTGATCCAATTAAGGTCTTCGAGGCTGTCAAGCCCTTTGAGGAAAAGGTTCTTGGCAAGGCAAGTAAACTATTTCTCTGAGAATATTTATTTTTTTTTAATTTTGTGTGAAGTAGAATAGACATTGTTTAAGACTCCCATGTCATTGTTTGAAGTTTCAGACCAAAACCTATTGCATGTGTTGGGACACTCTGTAATTTCTTACTTTAGCAATTGATTATACTCTTTCATCAGAGCGTCAATTTTTGTTAGCCTAGAAGTTTCTAGATGTTATCTTTCATCCTTGTCTTGCTGATGTTTCGAGTGTTAACCCTTCGTCAGAGCTAATGGACGAATTGCGGGCTGTGTGTTTATGTGCAGAAAGTGGAGAACATGGTAACGAGAAAAAAAAGAATAAATTAGTAGAGTAAAAGCCTTCTTTGATACCCTTGGGATTAAGAGTACGATTTGGGAGATAAACCTTTGTCCAAGACTTTTACGGCTTTCTGAACTGCCTAAATGTAAGGAAAGGCCGTAGACTGCTATATGCTGCTTAGAAAGATTAGGTAGATTAAGTGACTAGCGACTGGTTTTGATGCGTCCTTGTCATTCCGAAATCCTTCCTTTTTACGTCGCGAAGGTGTCCTCGGAGTCGCGTGTGAATGAAATAAGTGGAGGTTGCGAAAAGATAGTGCCAGTCTTTGGATCGTTTTGAAGTAATTTAATTTTTTTAAGGAATAATGGATTTAACTGCGTGGATGTGAGGGTGAAATGTGAGAGTGAATGGAATGCGGTTTGTAGTGCTGACTGTCGATCAATTTGTTGGGCGCGGTGGTGGCCCGCTTGAACGATAAAAAAAAGGATATCCACGTTTTTCGAAAAACTGGCCAGCTGATTGGCTGGCTATTAAACCCAGCTTTTTTTAAAGACAATATTAGGAGATTTAACGCTTCTAGGTCGTGAGCTTCTGCCTGTAGTGTTGCCGCTAAAATTGTTACTTGTTATTTTATTTCGTATTCTTTTTTTTTTCGTTCCGTCACATTTTCATCAAGTTCGTTTGTTTTCATTAAGTTCATTTGTTTCTACGCTCAATGTTTTCTACGGTATTCCGTTACCTTTTTTTGAATAATTGCTCTTTGTTTGTACATTCCTAGAAGTTCTTTAGCGTAAATTTTAGCCATTCGAGCTTTATCGTTAAAGCGTGCTCAACCATTGCTTTTCGTTTGAATCGTCTCAAGTTAGCATTTTGCCGGAATCTCGTACAGCGTTTGTAAGTGTCTTTATTGTGCATTAGTTTGTTTTCTAGTTTGTCAATTTCTTTACTTATAATTGTAGTAAGTTATTGTTTGTAATTTTATTTTAGCATCCGCTTCGCTTCGTTTTACTGTATTTCGTACATTAAAGAGCGCGTATCAGTTGGAAATGTGCTAGTGTTTTCAGTGGCCGTTTTATATAGTTTTTGTATAGTTTTAGTTATACTTAAATATCCATATCCTGATTGTATTACATTCTTTATTCACCTTAGTTCGTTACAGATTACTTCTTTGTTTCATTTATTATATCTGAAATTCATTAGTAGTTTTCGTGCTGTTTGAATATAATCCTCTGGCTTAGATGTAATTGATTGATTGATTGACTCATAGAAACCGCTGGCTCCTTATGTAAGACCATGGCAGACGCCAGTTCCACCGTTAGGTAAATCTGTTGACAAAATTATCTCCTTCCCAACTGAGGATGAAGAATCCGGGTCAATAGTGCTGGGTTTCCGAGGACCATCCTGCGAAGATCATTACAGCCTGGCTGCATTATCTGTCATACTAGACTATCTTACAGACACCTCTATAGCTCCACTGCAGCGAGAACTCGTTGAAATTCCCGATCCGTTCTGTAGCGATATTGGGTGTCATGAACTGGAGTTCTTAGAGAGTGCTTTCCTTATCAAAGCTGAAAATGTTCCATTTGACAAGCTCTTGGCCGCTAAGGAAAAGATAAAAGAGGTTCTCGGAAACCTCGTAGACGGTAGGGAGGTCATTGACATGGAGCGTCTTAATGTAGTTATCCATCGAAAAATTCTGGACACCAAGAACAAGTTTGAAAACCACCCTCATGATACGTTTGCGGATGTGCTAGTTGGAGATTTCTTGTACTCCACCAAGTCAGAGGATCTTAAAGAAAGGATGGAAATAATCCAATGTTTGGAAAAACTTCGGCAAGAATCGGTGACCTTCTGGGTGGATTTTTTGAAGAAATACTTTATTTCATCAAGAAGTGTTTCGGTAAGTACAAGCTTGTTAAGTACCATTCAATTTAAATGTTTAGGAAGGCGTTTCAACCCTTTACACCTTAACATCCGTGTGCATATTCTCCATACTGTGTTCTCTATACATTTCCTTAGGTGCTGGAAAGGAGTATTTGTTTAACAATCAAGCGCTTCATTAGTTGTCGATCATTTCCTTTATTCTCGTGTCCTTAATGTTTGATTCAGGGGTGGTGTTGTTAGGAGAAATTAAATGTTAGTCATCATTAGGGGTTAAAGAGTTAAGAACTCAATGCTGGCGACCCTTGGAGTGGTGGAACAAACAAAATATTTAAAATGCCGGTTGTCTTAAAAAAACACCTCTTCAAATTTTGAAAGTTGACAATTTGGCTGTTGTAGATAACTGGAAAACCAAGTGCACAACTGATGAAAGAAATGTCAGAAGGAGAAAAGAAACGAATGGCTGACCAGCGGGAATCTCTTGGCGAGGAAGGATTGAAAAGCAAACGGCAACGGCTGGAAAAGGCGACAGAAGATAACGAGGTGAACGTTAATAAACTCATCACTAAATATTTTAGGTGGTTAGGGTCTCATCATCAGCGCTATAGGACGGGCGTTTTTCCGTCCATGGGAAGATTGGAGACCAGTCGAGGGAGGTCTCCCGCGGTCCTGGATCTGATATTATCGTTA